TGAATCATTTTTCTGTCTGCTTATTTTAACATTTTAAAAAAATTTTTTTTTTATTCCGTTTTTAGTTTTTAATGAATATTAATTTTGGTTATTTTTTCCCCCCTCAACTTATCCCATTCGTGGGATTTAGACAGAAGACGAAACTAAAATGCAAATAATTACAAACACGAACTAAAAAGAAAAAGTGCCCAGCATTTGGAAAAACTGCAAAACGAAAAAAAACAAACAATCGTTTCGAATAGTAGGTTTGAAAAACATAAAATAAATGAAAGATAACTCAAATAATAAAAAAACAAACGAGGAAACTTGAAAGAAAGTTTTTTTATTTTATTTATAGGAAATGTTAGGACTTTGTGTCTAGTTCAAAAAAAATTAATAGTAAATAAAATTTAGAATCGAATTGGTGCTACAATTAGAATCTTACTTAGTCGTTTAAAAGAGAGAGAGAGAAAAAATAATTCTTCTCTTCTACACCATGGTCACTTGTAAAAAAAAAAAGAATCTGACCCAAACATGGTTCTTGTCTCTGATCAAATAGATAAGTTTCCTGTGTATTATTCGTCTGTATAATTTAAAAAAAAAAATTATTTTCTATTTTATTTCTCGTTTGTACTTTTTTTTTTTTATTTAGTTAGTCATTTGATTTTAATTTTTACTTAATTTTTATTCGAATTTCAATTTAAATTCTCACTTTGCTTAGAACTTTAAACAAGGTGAGACTTGTCACTTGACATTCTAATAATGGCAATGCTGCTAAAAACTAGCAATTGGCCAATAAAAGTATGAGCGAAGAAATTTGAAAGAAAAAAAATAGATTATTTTATTTTTTTACTTATTGGAACTTTGTGCCTACTTCATTCTTTACTTTTCTGTATGAAAATCTCTTGCTTGTTAATAAGCTACAATTGGATTGGTGTCTCTTCTCCATCTCACTTACCAATGTTTAAAATCGGTGCCACCACACAAGAAATGGATGCGTTTTTTTTTTCCAAAATGAAAGCAAAAAATTGGTACCCACGTCTAAAAAAGAAAAATGGCAAAAAAAAATCAGGGAATTCAAACGAAATTTTTTAATAGTTATTCATTAATGAATAAACTTATTTTTTATTATAGTACTCCACCCACTTTTCAATTGGAGGTACTTGGAGGGTGAGGGCTAATTTTTTTTTTTTTTTTTTCAGTTATAAAGTAAAATACCCGAAGAACTTCCGTAAAATATTAATGCAAAGTGTGAACTGAACATACAGAGAATTCGTCCCGAGCATTAACAAAAACAAATAATTTAAAAAATAAAAAAACAGAAAACTTAAAAGAAAATTTAAGAAGTTTACAGTACTGGTAAATTAATAAGACTACAGTTGCACTAAACACTTATGACTTATTTATTTATTTAAAAAGAAAATTACTTGTAATTTTTCACTTTTCTTCAGTATCATTTTGAAATTCACCCCGTTACTGATCGTAACAAGATTTTTTTTTTTTTTAACTGAAAAGACCCTTTGAATGATAGAAAAAAAAATATAAAGTTTAAAAATGCCATTTTCGAGTGTGGACACTTTTTAAAAGAATTTTTTTTTTCTTTTTTTTTTCATTTTATCTAACATTATTATTTTTTTTATATGTTCAAAAAAGGAAATAATTCTGAATTACCGCCTTAATTCATTGATTTACAGATTTTTTTTTAATTTGGGTACAATTATGAAATCAAACAGGTAAGAAAATAAAAAATAGCAATAGACTCAACAAAAAGTATCATTACTAAGTTTCGTAAAAAAAAAAAATTTTAAGTTAAACTATTTAGCTTTGATTATAAGAGCCGACACACAATGGTGCAAACAGTCGAGCATCTTGTGACTTGTGGTGGTTCTAAGAAGGTTGTGTCGACGATGCAACACTTGAAGTTCGTGTTATCAGTTTTTTAAGGTTCAGTTGTAACAGTTTGAGGTTAGTGTTTGCGGTGGTTTGTGTTGTTATGCCATCTGTGAAGGGTGAAAAAGACAATGCGTGCTTTCCATTATGTTTAAACTTTAAACATAAAAATACTAATTTCTTGATTATTGCACTGCTAGTGTTCCATATTCCTTCTTTTTTTTTTTTTTTAAGGAGTTACATAGAAAATTAGAATTGTGACCTATGATATCAGAGATCGCTGTACATAAATAACCTTTATTTTCATTATGCTTATGAATTCCAATTAAGTTTACTAACTGATTTTGAAACAATGTCTGACAAATACTGGATTTTTAAGTGGTTTTTAAATTAATTGTTTAAATTTTTTATAATGCCGGTTCACTTCGTGACTAGGGAATGTGCCAATGTTTTTAAAATGCCGAAAAACACATTATTTACATATGGAAATTCATTTGTATTTTAATACAGCTTAGCTTTAGGCTACTATCTTTCAAATAAAACCAAGAATTTAAATGAATGTCAAAGAAGGCATTTAAAATATGTTTTGGAGGTTTTATAGGAAGTTCATTGCAGTTGTTTCTAATTTTAAAAAATGTTTGGTAATAAGGTTAGTTTAGTTTAGTATTCCCTTGATGTTTTGCTTTGATAAGAGAGTTTATACTAAGTTAAAACTTAATACTTAATTATATACTGATTGTTCCCTAATTAACCCTACCTAAATACATGTACTTGATCCTTACATGATCAAAGTTAAATTCTTTGCTTTGAACCCCTCTGTTTACACTCATAGAGATTTCATTTTTCTTTGTTCTCTTTTTATTATTTATTCTTGTAATAGGAATAGACAGGCTCACCTATCACCTGGTTCACACTCTTTCCTCATGACTTGAACGGGTCTAGAGGTTTATCACTTGTCTCCAGTTTAGGATTGGGGTTCTAGTTTCCTCTTTTGAGGCCTCAATAAGAATAACTGCCTTAACTTTTTGGTAATATGACTGACTGAGGACAACAACTCTTCATATTGATAGGACTTGTAGCAAAGAGCCCAAAATCTTTGGTAGTTCTTAGAAAGGCTGCTCTGGTTGACAGTTGCATAATATCAGGGTTTTTTCAGTGCCAAGTAATGCATGGATAGGTGTCCCTGCAAGGACTTTCAGTGGGCAACCTTAAGGCCTCACAATACTGTAGTCTTGGCCACCTTCTGGCTGGTTTCTATGGACTTAAATTCTAGGCAGTGGGGCACCTCGAGGTGGTGTAATGGTTAGCAAGCTTGTCTCGCTAGAACAATTACGACTGAGTAGTGAGTTCGATCCTCACTGGTTACCCCATACTTTCAGCCTTGTGCCACATCTGAGCTACGCTCGGAATATCACTAAATGCTAGGCAGTGACTATAATTCTTGGCTTTTTCATCATAAAATTTCCTATAACTGCAATGATTGATAAAAATAAATCAGTTTGCAAGAAATCACATAAGACCCTCAAGTTTTTGTAATAGCCTACAGAAGGCTCGATGTTCAAGATTATTATTATTATAAATGTAAGGCATATGCAAGAAGATACTGATACCAAAAACACATAAATACTAAAAACACATAAAAATGTTCCAAAATGTGAATGTGTAGATATGCAAATGTAGTTAGATTGATAGTCCTGAAAAAGCAGCAAGCAGCATTTGAGTGGTAAATCCTTGGAAATGTTTGTATGTTAGGGCCTTTGATGAAAGGAAAAGTTAAACTCAAATAAAATCACTTGAATGAAGTGATTTGGGACTGGTAAGTAAAATCCAAAAATGGTGGTGTGCTGAATGAAAAAGATGTTGCACGTGGCATGTCATTATGTAAATCCAGAAATTGGCAGGCAACCAAATCAAGATGGCATGTTGCAAAGTAGAATTCAGTATGGCGGTGCCAATGAAAACAGCACCAAAATGTGGTGTGGTTGCTAAGTAACCAAACATGATAGTATAGGCCATCATTATGGTGTTTCTTCAAACAAATGTTAAGAGAACTAACATGCAAAAACAATGAATAATTTAACCTTTAACAACTGCAGACAAAAATTGTCGCCACAGAATTCTCTCCCTTTGCTGCTCTAGGTGGGTTCTGTTGCCTTGAAATGGTTACTATAAATAAACACTTATCAAATGTTATTTCCGGTATTTTAAGCTGGAAATCGCCTACTACTGCTTTGGAACAAGGTTAAGCTTTCATTTTCCAACACCATTTTGAATTCTTCTAGACTCTACAAGATGTATAATACCAATTATACCCACTTATTTTTTTGTAAATAAAAATGACCACATCAATATTCAACAAAGTCTTTATTCAGGAGTTTTTCTTTGATTAGGACTCTGATTATGATTTTGAAGGCTTATCTTGAGTGCATATTGACGGTGAGGTGGTTGAAAATGATAACCACACTAGTGACATGGAGGAAAGTGATGATGACCACTAGCATCTCTAGTATCATCCATGTCTGACTAATTTTATGGCAGCTACTGGCAACCATTGGTACACATGATAGCCTTTCTGAAGGTGAATTATTTTGTCTATTTATAATTGCCGAAATAATAAATTTATTCGTCTATGAAAACACGAGACAAATATAGTATTCAAGTGAAAGAAAAAGCAAAAAAATACTGGTTTCTTCTCGTATGTAAACACGAAAAAGGGTCACTTTTTTGTCAAAATGAAAGCCGCCTTAGTGATTTTGCTTCATGTTGCACCTCCAGAACTCCACAAGTAGTAATAAAAGTACATTGAATTATTTATGTATTTTTTAATGTATTTGTTTTTTATTTTGCATTTTAATTTTTTTGTTTTCAGCATCAAAACATGCATGCAAAACATAATGCATTACATCAAAATATAACTCATCCTTCTTTTATTATTGTACAAAGTTTAAAATCTATGCACAAAAGAAAGTTATAACAATTTTAAAACAGTAGGTGTTCATATTTTTGCATCCTCCCAAAAAAAAAAAAATTGGAGTGGCAGGGGAGAAAACTCTAGAAAGAAATTAGCATGGTAAAGGTTAACAAAGCAATAAGAAAGAATTCAAACAAAGCAAAGGACTAGGTTGCTCAACTTAAATGACAGGATGTGCTCGACCGTCAAATCCTGGGCAATGCCAAAGAAAAGAAGGTAACAGTAGATTTACTGCATTTTCCCCGGAGAGAGGGTAAGCAGAAAAGAGAAAGAAAAAGCAATGTCTGCATCTTTCCAAGAACGGAGAGGTGAAAAGAGGAAAAGAAAGCAAACTTGAACAAACAGAAAAGAAGGACCATATCACTAAAGGGCTTAAAGTCGGTTCTTCCTTCAGGCAACCCTTCCAGTCAGGGAGGTGATCAGTACTGTTGTGAGAACAGGATCACACCTAACCCTGGTGTGGAGAAGCTCACACAGATGCAAGTGTGTGTGTGTGTGTGTGTATATATATATATATATATATATATATATATATATATATATATATATATATATATATAAGGTTATTATGATAATGTCTTTACAATTTTTTTTGCCTAAGAAATTAAGTAGACATTTCAAAAATATCTTCAAGGAAAGGTTCCTACTAGTATTCCAGACTAGTATTCCATCAAGCTTTTATACCGGGGTGGTTAACCACCTCACATCCAATAATCTGCTCTCAGACAAGCAATATGGTTTCCGCTTTGCCAGATCTACAGCCGATGTGCTCACAACCATCACGGAAACAGTCTACCGAACTCTCCCAAAATAACGGGGAAGCCCGAGCCGTGGCACTAGATATCTCCAAAGCATTTGATAGGGTTTGCACGCCGGCCTTCTCCGCAAGATCCAGGGTTATGGCATTACGGGTCAATTATATAACATAATACAATCATTCCTGTCAAACCGTGAATTGAAGGTCGTTCACAATGGATTCTCCTCCAGTTCCCTACCCCACGAACGCAGGAGTTCCTCAAGGCTCCATCCTAGGCCCCACTCTATTCCTTATCTATATAAATGACCTTCCTGACGCCAGAACTTCTCAAGTCGGCATCTACGCGGATGACACCACAATTTATTCCTGCCTCAAAAACAAATCCAGTCTCGCTTGACAAAACTCACCTTGCCGTGCGCCTCGAAAAGGACCTCCAATCGATTGTGAACTGGGGCAAGATTTGGCTGGTCAACTTCAACGCTTCAAGACTAAACTTCTCTCTATTAATCACCACAGAGAGCCTTCCCTTCCCTCCATTATAATGTCTGACGCTCAACTTCCCGAGAGCAACTCTCTGCGGCTTCTCGGTCTCACGTTGACTGCTGACCTGAGATGGAATAAATACATCGAGTCAATTGCCCGGTCCACTGCGAGGAAAGTTGGCTCCCCTGAGCCATGCTAGGAAGTTTTTCTCCCTGAGTCGATCCTCCAGATATACAAATCCAAAATTCGCCCTTGCATGGAGTATTGCTGCCATATGGTCTGGCGCCCTTCTGTTTGCCTCAGGGGTTCTTGATAGGCTCCAGAGGCGGATATGTAATATGGTTGGCCCTACCCTGGCGTCTCGTCTACAGTCACTTTCTCACAGACGCGTCGTCGCCTCCCTCTGTCTGTTCTACAAATACTTTCATGGAAATTGCTCCGAGGAACTGCATTGCTGGTTCCCCAAACGTCATGAGTTCAAGCGCCCTCACGAGGCTGGCATCCCGCTCTCACCCCTTCACTGTCGAAACTCATAAATGTAGCCGTCTCTACTACTCTAATAGCTTCATGTCTCGCACCTCTCGCCTGTGGAACTCTCTTCCCTTCTCCTGTTTCCCTGAGAGTTATAATCTCCAGCTATTCAAGTGTAATGTCAATCGACATCTCCAGTTGCCTTAATCTATCTACTACCCTCATCCTTTCTTCTATCACTCCTATCTGATCTTCCTATTTTCTGTAACCCCTTGCGTCCTAGTGGCTCCCCGCCTTGCTTGGGGTGAAATGCTTAAAAAAAAAAAAAAAAAATACATAATTTTTGAAACATAGAAAGTTTTGTTAGAAATGAGAAACATTGGTACATGAAACCATTGTCATTCAAGGGAGCTAATCCACTTCCGGTTGCTGAACTGGTGGATGCGACACTTTCTTTCTCTGATGTTTATGGCATTTATATTGATTTCTGTCATGTAGAATGTTAAGGAAAATCTTATGGCCAAGGAATTGTGCAGCAGAATTTTATAAGGGGGATAAAATTCAATCCAGTAGTCCCATGTCTCAAGAAATCATCCTTCATGCAGTGTAGCAACTCACAGAACTGCTTCTATCTAGGTTGAGAAGTCAGTGATTGTTTAAGGTGTGACCAAAGATTGCATGATGTTCTCATATACAAACAAGAGGTTACACACTCTTTCTTTCTCTTCCAATGTAGTGTACATGTGACACTTGTCACTTGGTTACATGAGATAAGTTGCCATTTTCTTCACTGCAAATTTTCTCTTGAGTCCTAGATTATTCTTATATATACTTTCAACTTTCACAGTTAACATCTGTTAATTATCTCTTCTTCCTTTATCTCCTTTCTTCACAGGACTGAAACTTGTTAGATATGTCTCTCTCTCTCTCTTTCTCTCTCTCTCTTTCTCTCTTTCTCTCTCTCTCTCTCTCTCTCTCTCTCTCTTTACATTCATCCATGAATATCTTTGTGTTTGGTAATTTCACTGATCATCATGTCAAGTGGCTTCATCATTCTACTACCTCTGATCTTGTCATTATTCAGAGCTGTTTTTTTTTTTAGTTGCTTAAACCCTCAGTCAAACAGATTTCCCTAATCGTTTCCTTAGTAATTCTGACTTATACATTTCTTTATGCAATCTGTTCCTTACCTCCTCTCTGGACTCTTGTGCTTTGCAGCTCTATCCTCTTGGAAAACTGTAGTGTCTGTAGAAATTTCTTTTCACTCATCTAATAGGCATGAAAAAAACCCTTATTTGCAAGACATCATTTTGTTAAGAACGCACTGATTGGGATTCACTATGCAGTTTTCTTTATGACGGCCCTTGCCATTTAAAATTGTCACCAAGGTTTCTTCTGGGGTAAATCTGTCATCAATGCTTTTGTGGCATCTCAGAAATATGAAACAGCAATTGTCTCATTGTCCATATCTGCCTGTTCAGCTGCTATAACCCACATGAATAAATTCTTCCAGCTAAAAAATGTGATAGCTCAAATCATAACAAGATGCCTCTTTGTGTCCACTTGTAATAATTGTAAATGTGTCCTCAATGAGGCTAAGTTACTATTCGGTGATAGAATGAGACAAGTTTGGTTCTCATGATTATTAGCAGTTGTGTAAGAGTGTCTTAAACAAGGGTAAATCCTCAATCCCTCCTCTCTTCCATTTTTGAAGTGTTGTCATCTATTGCTGATAAAGCAGAATGCTTTGCTTGTAAATTCTCTTTCAGCTCTATACTCAATACATCAGGAATATCTTTGCCTGACTTTCCACCTACAACTAGTGTTATATATATATATATATATATATATATATATATATATATAACTCTGTCTATGGTTTCTGCTATCATCTCCAAATTTAGTTATATGCCATGCGTTATACATGCTTAGGTGATCATGTATCTTTTGATACATGACTGATGAGGCAGATTTTTTTCCTGCAGTAGGTTGCCAATAGCTGGTGGAGAAGAGGATTCATACTTTTCCCAAGGGTATTAGCACATAAAAGTGACTCTAATGGATTCAATTGGAATTAAAACTCAGGACTCCAATTCCTCAATCTGAGCAACTATCCATTACTCCACTGTGCCTCCTTCAAACTAGATCCCCACAAAGCACATGGACTTGAAGATATCCTTGAAATTGACCTAAAGAAATATCCTCCTGAACTGGCTCCTATTTTCTCCAATATCAAATGCCTTATTGCTTCTTACTTTCAATCTTGGTGAAAATCCTTTTATATAGTTCCTGTTTTCAAGAACTCTGGCAAACCATCTGATCCTTCTAATTATCAGCCTATTAGTCTTTTACCTTCTTTTTTTGGCAATGTCCTCACGGCTCTAACCAACTCGAAGTTCGTTAAGCATCTCACTTTGCATGGTCATCTTTCAAACAAATATGGCTTTTGCTTCTGTAGGTCAACAACTAATTTATTATGCAGCAAAAACAAAAGATCTAAAGACTTGATCTTGTGAAACCATATGTGTATACAGATTGATTTTTAGAGCAATTAAAAGTACTCTAACACATTCAAATACATTACATTTAATATATTAGAAAATCAAAATATATATAATAGTGAAAAATCATTTTATTGATGATTAGGAAATACAATAATATATTCAACAGTTTGGCTTTACGTCAAAATTTATTGTAGGATGTATCAATATAATCCATCAACATTAATTGTCTAATGAAAAAAGTACATGATCTAGTCATGTGATTTAAATATATGTGTTTTGGTATCGTAAGCAGAAGTGATCAATTTGTGTATTACATGTATTGGAGAAAAATTGGGTTACTTATAAGCATTTTTATCAACCCAATCCATAAATGCTTTTGCATTTTTCAAAGCAATCTCATACATCATCTCCACATTACTTTCAGTAAAATGAATATTGAATTTAGGCTTTCCAAAAATTCGCTCATAGATGAAATGTAGTTTAAAAGCTTCTGTTGGTTTTGTATTGGAACCCTGCGAAGAACTCTCTAAAGAAAGATTTGCCATTTGAGTTTCTAATTTCTCCTTTAGAATAACTTTAAATCCTTCAAATGTATCAGCATACAACAGGTCAGAAATAGGTTCACCCTGAACTTTATTCAAAAGAACTTTTAAAAAACGAAAATCATATTTTTTTCCAGAATGCGCCACAAAACACACAGGTTTCTTCAGTCGCAAAAGAAACAATTTCAACAGTTCAGCATCCGCTGCATCTAAGCTTTCCTGCTTACTTTTCTCCTCTTTCTCAGCAGTCACGTCTGAAGAAAGAGAAAATAGATAGACAAGAATTTTCAGTAATAATGAGTTATCTCCCTTAAACTGAGATCAATAATTTTCAAATTTAAATTCTAAATTAACATTTAGAAATAAAAAAAAATAATGTTTCCAAATCAAAAAGTCTATTGGGACACACTCCACTGTACTAAAAGAAAACAGGCAAACTTGGACCTTTGTGTCCATAAAAAAATGAAGTGTCAAATGGACAGTTCTTCCAATGACACCACTACTGTTACCTTCATTCAGTGGCAATGTTTATTGTTTTAAAAAAGAATTGTAATAAAAATTAAATTTATGAAAATAAATTCATGCATTTTCTTTGTTCTTAAGTATTGACAACAAAAATATTAAAAACTATTTATTAGAATGTTTATTTACACTATTTATTTATTAAATTGTTTATTGGGATCATTGGCAAAACCTTGACTAATTGCCAACTGATTTGAATTTTATAAAACATTAAATAATAAGGATTTCTTTATAGTTGGGTCACATATTTTAATAATTAAGCAAATGTTCATAAATTTATGAATAAAAATTAGTTTTCATATTTCTTTAGAAATTGGTAAATGATAATTAGTTTTTAATGCATTAGTTATAATTGTATTAGTTTTTAGAATGTTGGAAATAAAAATTATTCTTGAAAATAAACAATCTAATAAATATTAGTGTTTAATTTTTCTGTTGTAAATTCTCAAGTACAAAAAAATATAAAAATTCACTTTCATCATGTTTAGATTTTATTACAAATCTAATGATAGCTTTTTAAAAGAATAAACACTGTTGAAGAATGAAGATAGTTAAAATAATAATGATGTCAATTAAAAAAAAATCATTCTTTTTAGAATCTGTGTTTTTGCCAGCATTAACATCCAAGTTTACCAACAAAAAAAAAAAAACAAACTCACATACATGCCAAATAATTGTCACTGATGTTCAGCCAATCAGTCTGATTTGGATTTAAACAAGCAGCCAATAAATTAATATTAATAAAGAAAACTAATTTGAGGTTAACATTTAGCTATGACCCTATGTTGTACATTGTAACTGAAAAATTGATCTATTCAGGTGTGTTGTAGCATTACAAGACTTAATTATCTGCTCTTGACTCTACTATAATTTATCCTTTCCCTGATAATCTGACTAGAGGCATAAAAGTCTCAGAAGTCTGGCCAGTTAGTATGAATGACTTGACATGACAGACTTTCATTTTCTCTTGCTTTTTATACCAAATTACATCACCAATAAAATGTACACCCACATCAGCTATCAAGTGAGACCTTAATTCACTTCTCTTTTCTATATCTGCCAACATATATCTGATTTGCTGCATATGTAAACTTATGTCACAACAACATTTTGTTAATATATAAAGTCATTTTCTACTCTCAAACATGTCCTTGTTTGTTTTCACCCGTTGAATAAAATGTTACAATATTGTCAGTGTGGTAATAATACATATTGCTTCCTTTGCACTGCTTCTTAACAAGAGTCACTGTTTTTTGGAACAGACTCTTGACAGAATGCTTTCTCAACCACTAAATCATAACCTCTTTAAGTCAAGGATTGACCATTAACCATTCTACATATCCTAATCATCACAGGTTCTTACCGCCTCCTCCTCCTCCTCCTCCTCCTCCTTTTATATCCATTAAACATCCCCATTCAGTAGCCTTCAATACTGAGTGGCTTTCTAGGAACAATAGCATAAAATAAAATTTATCCTTGCTTATTATTCCCTGTGTCATAACATATATGGCCACATGGACAACTTAGTTTTAGTACCTTTTACTAATACTGTATTTGTATATTTGTAGAGAGATATTGTATTGCACAACTACTCTTATTTATTTGCTTAAATGCAAGCTAAGTTTTGTTGAGTGGAATATGTTCCTCATTTATACTTACAGGGACTAAGGGACAACACTAAATGAGTCTTATTGATTTAAATGGATTTAAAATCATCATTAAAATAAATAAAGTTTAAAATCATGCATCTATTCTGGCCAATCAGAATTCAACATAAAAATGTATATTTTTTAACCAATCACTTTTCTTTGTGCTTGACCTTCTCAGCATCCATGTAACCATTGCATAAAAAGGTGTCAAAATTGATATACAGCAATTACTTCAATAGGCAACAACTATCAAACATATATTTATCAGGCTTTTCTTTCTGGACTCAAGGCTAACAACCAAATCACATTAAAACACTGGTTCTCATACAATCACCAAAGTTAAGCAACATTAAACCTTGTCAGTGCCTAGATGGGTGACCACTTCAGAATACCAAATGCTGTTTGCTTGGATGTGTGGCTGGTGTAATCAGTAACAACTTGGAAATGGAAATTAGAAAGCCAAATTCCAATTCCAGTTGGGTTCACTTATGCACAAATACCTTTATAAAAGGTATGAATCCACCTCCCATCTATGAATTAATTAGTAAGACTTTATCAGTAAATCATTATTATTTACCTACAAAATTCTTATAATCTAAAAATTCTTATTTTCTGGCTTTAAATAACCTGCAAAAGGTTGATAAGCCATAAAAATAAATCAATCAACCAATCTTATTTGACTCAAATCATGAGGTCTCTACCAGAATATTTTCATTTTTTTATTTTCCAGAATTATGCTGACCTTTCATCAATTTGTCAGAATGACCTGAATTGAGGGAAATTTTTCTAACATCTTAACAAATCATATTAAAAAAAATTAAAATAGAAGTAATTCTATTCATCAATTAATCTTTTAGCATAGCTGTCTTCTTCTGTTTATTCTTTTGTTATCCTCTATATTATTCTACATTGTTCCTTTTCATCTATATGCCATCTACCTTCAGGATGTGGGTGATTATGGTTCTTGACAATTTTCAATCTATTGTAGCTCTTAATGAGTTTTGTCTTTTCATCATCATCGCTTCCAGTTCATATTCTGCTATTCATTTACATAAGATCATTAGGTAGGTTATTTGTTGTTTCCTTTTTATCTTTAATATTTCCTGTGAGTATCAAATTCTTCAAGCCATCTTTCCTTATTATGTATCCCAGAAATTTCACTTCTCTTTCTGATTCTAAGTATAAGTATCCTTTTTATTTCCATTTTCCTTAAAATGTATTCATTACTCACATTTTTAGTTCATGGGATGCTCAGCATCCTTCTGTAGAACCACATTTTTGCTCCCTCAAGACTCTTATGCATCATTCACTGCCATGTAAGAAAGCTGATATTATATAACAGTTTAGCACACTTATTTGGTCTAATATTTTCTTGTTTCTTTATGCTTAGATTTTCAAAGGCTTCTTTCACTATCCCAATGTACTTTTCAGATTTTGGATAAATTTTTCTATCCTCTGTTAAAACACTTTCCAGATATTTAAATTTTAGTTCTATTTTTTTTTCCATTCTTTTTTGTCACCTATCTCACCCCAAGCAAGGCAATAATGCTACTGAGACACTATGGATTACTGGGATTGAAAGAGAAAGAGAAGACTTTAATGAGTAGAAAAGACAATGAAAGAACATGATTTCAGAAGACAGAAGATGATAATTGGTGTTGTATTTAAATAATTGTAGATGGTAGAGAAGAAAGAAACTGGAAGGTAGTTTCTTGGGCAAGAAGTGTGAGAGAAAAAACTAATGGAATTGAGTATACTATTGCATTTAGCTAGTTCAACAGGAAAACGGTAGGACCTTGTTACAATTTAGTACTTACACATAAATTCACGCAGTCAAGGCACCAATTTGGAAAGTAAGTTGATTTTGGTATCTTCAGTTTGTAGTTCACATTTTGCAGATAACCATATATTCAATTTTTTTCTTACAATTGATGATTAGTCCTTTCTTCTTACTTTCTTTTACTACCTTTTCTAAGAATTCCTGTAGTTTTCTTTCTGTTGATGCTATCAACACACTGTGTCATCTGCATATCTTATATTGTTAAGATTGTGTCTGTCAATAATATATCCTAGTAGGACTTCTAATTCTCTTGGGATTATCTCATTGTAAAGGTTGAAGAAATGTGGTGCAAAGACATCATTGTTTTATGCCCCCACCACTGTTTTGTTGTATTTACTAAATTCTTAATTCAAGCCATGCCAATTGTTCTGATGAGCTTTTCTCTTTGGTATCTTTCAAGTGCAGTACTAGGTTGGCAACTAGGTCTCATAATTTCAATGTTTAGAGTTTTATGCTAATAGCTTCTTCTGTCACACTTTTCACTTGTGGAAATTTCTTCCTGTTTCTTACATTCCTGTCAACAATGATCTTCAAAAATTTTAATGCAATGTCAATCATCATCTTTTCTCCCCTTGAATCCTATAATTTTATTGTTCCCTTTCCTCAAAATAAGGTTTTCTCAGTTTCTTTCACACCCCTTGCATCTTAGTGGCTTTTCTCAACATGCTTGGAGGGAAATATACTTTTAAAAAAATGCAAAAATTTGCAATCATACCACCATTTTCAATCATACCTCCATTTGCAATCATACCACTACTCCACTAGGAATATTAACTGGTTTAAATATTTAATCAGCTTTTTCCTTTTTTTTTTTTTTTTTTTTTTTTACACTTGAACACTCAAAAAAATGTAGCAGGAAGGTTGGGAGATAAAAAAAAAAAGATATAATTTAAAGAAATAACAAGATGAAAAAAAATTAAAAAAATGAGAAATCCTTTTTAACTCACTTGAAACAGTTTGTTCTTTCTCATCTTTAGGCATGACAACAAGCTTGATCGTATTCTCATACTTGTTCATTGCTTTTGACAGGAAGTGTTTTCGGCTGACAGCTTGCATACATATCTCAGTAATCCTTGAATTGGCTCCATCTTTTGAACTGTCACTTGCTTTGGAATGCATAAAAACCAAAGTTTCTACAGGGACACTACTTGCTGCAGCCATATTGTGAGAATCCCAACTGAAATGGATAAATTTCTTTCTTTGATCCAGACATTATTATTCACTTGGCACAGCATCAAAAAATTTGAACATGGATTATGTAATTCTACTTTTTCTAGAATCTAAGATATATCTATATCAATATATACATAGAGATATAAATATATCTGTAACGACAATATGAAGAAAAGAAAAGACAAGTGGAACATTTTTTGTTCCTTAATAAAGTTATTCAAGAAATAAAATGCATTAGCATAAAAACTATTCCTCATTTTTTCTCATATATATATATATATATATATATATATATATATAAAGAAATATAGTCTTAAGGTGTGCTATATTTATGGAATAAAGTGCTCAATATCAGAGATAGAGCGTGTGTAAATATAAAAGTGAACATAGAAGTCAACACTTAGAGGCGACAGTCTGTTTCATGCTATATGCAATCGTCAGGCCACATTTAATTGATTAGTTTTAGGAAATAAATGTGAAAAATCTGTTTACAAAAGAAATGAAGAAAAAAGGAAATACAACATGATGCCTGAAAGTGAAATTATATAGTGTTCTTTAGTTTTTTTAAAAAAAATAAAAAGCATTTGAAGGTTATTTGATAAAATTCACCTGAGGATACCATAAGTTTGAAACCAAGGTAGTGGATTCAACTAACCTCCTGATTTTTAAAGTTAAAAGCTCTACATTATATATGTATACATATATATATATATATATATATATATATATATATATATATATATATATATATATATATAATATTATTCAGTTGTATAAATATGAGTTTAATTTAATATATATATTATTATTATTATTATTATTGTCATTATTCATCCAGAGAAAAATCCACTTTGTATCTAACTTCTAACCCTTATTACTTGTGTGTTAATGAGAACCTTCACAGTCAGTTGCTGAAACCTGATGAATGACCCAAATTTATTCAATAAAATCAACATTGGCTTCAAGCGCAGCCTCCATAAGACTTTGCAATTTCCTGCCTCTCTTCTGAACAGTGTCCTTGTTTAAGTTGGTGAATGCTGCCATAATCCCTCCAAACACCATGATAGTGTCTTGATCCTACTGTTTCCAAATCCTCTACACTGTCCTCAGATTGACACCAAAACACTGTGAAATGTTCGTATTAGAGCTTCCAGTATGAATGTCAAACAACACAGCATACCGTTTCCAAATTTCTGTCAGAGTGAATTATACCATGGTGCTCTTTTTCTCACAGGCAGTGCCCAACAGACCCTACTATACAGTACAGTCAACAAAGTCAAAAATGGTGACAACTTACACATTGCACACTATATATATATATATATATATATATATATATATATATATATATATATATATATATATATATATATATATATATATATATATCTGTATTTTTAAGTTCTTCATGAAGAAATGATCTACATTACTACTGACAACCTTTGCACAACATGTTGACTTTTTAGAATGGTGTTTTTGTTCCAAAAAACATTTTTGGCCAGGTGTTTATATACACAGGTACATGTATGCATTTTTTATCTACATAAAAATGATCAGATTTCTCTTTTTTCATATTTGTTCGCATAATGCAGCAATAACAGCACATCATAACATTCTTTTGTTAGCCTAATACAATTAACATATGCTAATTTGTACAACGAAGCAATTTCCAGTTTTTAATTTAGTCACTGCTGTTTAAATAATTTTTAATTAATTGTGCTGAAATTGACAAACAGATGTCTATTCAAGTTCATCTAAATGAACTAACAACACTGAACATGCAATTGAACTTACTAATTAAACAACTCCAATATTTGAATTATTTCATATATAATGCTAAGAGAAAAGCTTCAAAAATCTACAAAGCAAAAAAATTAGCACAAAAAATCTTTGTAAAGCTTCAATAGGATTTATCTAATATTAATATAAAAGTTGTGATTATTATTTCAAAAAAGAGGTATAGTTAACAAAAAATTGTAAAATTAAACCTGAAGCAGGAAGTTAAAAAATAGAATACAACAATATCTTGTGAAATTCACTGATGACACATCTAGGAAATTAAATAAAATATTATACAGGATGTGACAGAAATAACTCTCATGCTCTAAGCTGTCACCTGTGTGGTATTAGTGAACATAGGCAAGTGGTAATGGTATTTTCATCTTGCTAATGATATTCTTAAATATGGTGAAATAACAGGGTAGTATGGGTTTTCTAGCCTTGCATGATAACCAGTCTTGAAGTAGGACAACTCTGAATTCAGAACCATGGAGAAGGCAATGAGAAAACCTTTCATTATTTTTCCCAAATGGTTATGGCAATACCCAGACAAGAAATATGTGAAAGGATATATAATAGTCTATGCCCTTTTTTCTTTCTTGATTTTGTAGAAAGTCTAACATTGCTGCAGTTGATAAACTTTAAATACTTTTTGGTTGTCAGAAGCAAGAACAGAGGGGTGGGGACGAGTAAAATCATTCAAATAATTATTAAAAATTAAAAATATTTGTTGATTTGATTAATGAATGCTTTTCTACAGAAATTAATGACCTTCCATGCTGACATTGACATCTTATGACTATTTGAAAATTACAAAAAATTTGGCATGTTCTTTTCAAAACTAAATCCTCAGATAATAAAAAAGTATATGGGTCTTAGATATATTTAAAAGAATTCTGAATTAATCTTCATCAAAATGGTAAGAATATCCATGAACAGAAAGTTCTTCACACGCAGATGAAGATCATTGAAAAATATTGTCATGAGACAAATTTTCAACAACATATTTTCCTAAAACAAAGAACAATATAGTCACAGTTTTCTAAATGACAATACTATGAACTTTGAATAGAGAATAAAATTGTAAATTTCAAATATAATAAAAAATCACAAATGAAAATCATTTTTAAAAGACAAAATAAATAAATCTTACTTGAGAAAATTATTACACTTCTGATCGACTTGCAAACTGGTTCAGCAACGTAAAAACTCGTTTCTTTGTTTCACTTTCATTATCTCCTCTAATAATAGATCATGAAATACTGCTAAATAAAAAAAAAAATGTTTTTCTTTCCTGGAAATGGGTGTGTCACCTATAAAGGAAAAAATTGCATAAAAAGAGATAAACACATTGAGTATATTACCCAAGAGACATTTTTTTCCCTACAGTCACCCTAAAAAGAGTAAACACTCTGTAGTAGAAACCCAAGATTTTGTATGTGACTCCTAACTTCTTTGTTTATCATATGTGTACACACACATACACACACTCCTAAAATACCCACAAACATGTAACCTGTTAACTTCCATTAGCTATGTTATGGCAATGGGAAGTGTTTGAAGTTGAAATGCCAGATCAGGTCTGATAATATTGCAGATTCTTCTTTTATAGTATAGATTGTATTTTTTCAAATTTCAAATAAGTTATCATATAACAAAATTGTAGATAATCTGCTTAAACTTTTAGCTTTTGTTCTGTTTTTTTTATGCAAATTCTTTTGACCGTCATCACAGAGAACTAAATCTGGCCATTATCGTTTGCATGAGTTTTGCTAGCTACAATCACTGACATTTTTTTCTTTTTAGAAATCTACAACTGAAATTTAAATATATGTGTGGCATGTTAAGAATTTTGAACTCATTAGATCTTCTCTTGACTCAGTTATAATTTATGCATATATAAAAGAGGAGGAAACTGCATCATGTGACAGACTGCCAAAAGAAGCGAAAAGTGAGTCACCTAAAAATTTGGAGAGAATTCATAATGATGCTGGCATGTCTATTTCCAGATTTCCAGATTTTTTTCTTGTACAATGAATGACAGAGTTTTCTATCAAATCTCTCTTGCTGTTTGAACAAACTATTGTTGCATTTGAATTCTGTAAATATGTAGATTATAAGAAATTGAAGCTGGTGAGCATGTATTGTCTGCTTTTCTGAGAGAAAACTGATGATCGCATTGGGCCTTTGCTTAAACTTTTGAATTTCAGAAATATTTTTGGTACATTTCAATTTATGGGAAAACAGCTGTGTAAAGTATTATTGTGTCTGAACACCCTCAAAGGAAAGATGTAATTACATCTCTAGGTTTGTTTTTTTTTTTTGTTTTTCATCCAACACCAATCAAGAATGGAATTTGAAGCCTACCTGTTGTCATAAAATGGGGCCTTGGATTGAATTTGATGAATCAATGAAAAGCTGTTGCATGATCTTAGGTCGCCCTGGTCCATAAAGAGAAACAAGAAATTTGATGACCACCAGATAACAATTGAATGCAACATCAAAGTCACTCCCACATCAAGGAAAATTCTTCAGCTGGTGTGATCGTTTTATTCTTCACTGTTACCACAAACTTTGCTTCAAACAATTTTCTTTGAAAACTATTCAGAGAAATATTTTTCCATCTGTTCATTTATTTTTATGTTGTTTACCGTTTCTAAAGACCTTATGTAGCATTGTAACTTTTATTGTAAAAGAGGTATATTTCATTTGTAATGATTATTTTTACATATATGTTATTGGCCATCATTTGGCACACAAAGCACTTAATTTGTGTAATTCTTTCATTTTTGTATGTTAACAATAAATTTATCATCTATTTTTTAAACTCGTCTCATGTCATTTGAATTTGTTGTGTGTCCTTATATATTAAATGTTACCTCAAATGTTTGTTTGAACTATTTTTCGTAGTTATTTTTTATACCAAATAGAAATTATTTTAAGATAAAGAGTATTCTCTAAAACTTGTAATGGGATGATAAAATAGTTTTTTTCTGACAACTATTCCAGTAACTGATGATTCTCAATATGATAAGCATTTTATCCCGTGACACAGTATTGTCGGCCTGGGGTCAACTAGTCATGGCATGAAGCTGTGATACTTCTACCAGCATTTTGGGTTTGATTCTTAGTTGCTGCCACCAACATGTGACCCGATCGATTGGTGGTCATCGTTACACGGTGGGGTCCTTTGGTCAGGGTACCAAATCGGATGGTCAGTTGATTCTAATGGCTTCACACCAGATGCAACCGGTTCAACACCAGCTCCATCGTTCTCAGCTCACTTCCAATGACTGGTTACTGAAGTAACTACTTAAATCTCAAGTCTAACCTACCCACGTTGTGATTTGATCTTAGGTAGACCAGATCAATCAGGCATCGAGCCATAGTGCAAGATGAGTCTAAACTGGAGGTGATGTCGCACAGGCATAAAAAGAAATAAATAAAAACCAGAAAAAGGTTCAGGTATGTTGAAAGAAAGCAAATCAAATTTTATCAGTCTGTTCTATACAAGAGCATGTGTTTTTCTCAACCTGTTTCTTCTGAGAGCGACACTATTATACCTCTAGGCAAGTTCTGGCCTTCTAAGTCAACTGGTTTAGTTTTTAGGTGCTGGCTTAGCTTTGTTTGTCAATATAACTTGCTGTTTTGTAGAAAGACAAAATCAGAGGCGGAAGTCGTGGAATCTGTTAGTCAGTTTCTGCAAGGCAACTCTCTGGTTCCTGCTAGCAAACTGAACTAACTCCAACTGATTAACTGAACTCAACTGGTGAACTGCCCGAGAGCTTATATGGATTTTGACCAATAACCAGTGCGGGGTTAGACGAAACATGGGATTTTGGTAAGTCCCGATTTCTAACAAGGGCCCCCTTTGTTGTCTGGCTAGGAAAATTGATTACTTCCCATTTTGGAAAATTAATTACTTTCCATTTTGTGTGGGGGGATCCTTTGTCTGTGAGTAGAGGTTGCAGAATAGCTATCCTTCTAAAATCCCTCCTCATATTGGTACCTCATACAAAATTCTTTCGGTGGGCATTAGTAATTTCCTCGTCTTTCTTACCAATTTACCTCTGCCTATCACCATTTCTACCACCCGACCACTGGTGTCTCAGTCGTGCAGGTGTGGCTAAGCTTGCTTCATTAACTCTTTCTGGTTATTTTGTGTTTTCTTAACCAGTACTTTTATAATCATCATTAATCAATTATCAAATCTTGCCACATGGCCTTTCTGTGAATTTATCATTGACGCAAATCCTCGGTTTCTTGAGAAAAGTAACTTTTTTTTAAAGTAAAAATAAAAACTTTTTATATCGAACAGTATATTATTCGGGATATCTTTTTTTAACCCTTCTTTTCTGTTCTCAGTATTTTCTTGTTTAATTTTTATGGCTAATTAGTTAATCAATTACTATAGCTAAATAGTGTCACAATCCAACTACAACTTCTACCATGGAGTGTAACTAATACACACACACACATACACACACATATATATATATACATACAGGGAAATTGTAAGACAAAATGGAGAAGTTTACACCCATATTTCTCTTTATTGGGATTCAGAGTTTCCTACCCCTCTCAATCTCTGCTTAAGGAGTAACTTTGGCTCAACCTCTGGCCTGTTTTCTTCCCTTAATCATTTCTGGAGTTGAGAGAGAGTTATCTCATTCTCCTCCTCCCAATCACAGCTCCTCCCCTTCTTCTGGAGGTTTCAAATCAGAACCCATCACTTGGGTCCTTTGCTTTCCACTGATTCAGTGTCAGTTTTCTTGCTTTACTTATAACTCTTTCTATTGACTGTTGACTTCTCTTCCTTCTATCTCCTCAGAGTCTTCATCTATTCCTCTGGCTCCACTGGAGTTGCTTCCCTCATCCTTCCTTTCCTGTTCCTTGGTCCAGTTCCTTCCCAACCATCTACCTCAGCCAATTTGAGGTTGTTGGCATGAGCCCTTTTCACTCGTCCTGCCATTTGGTCGCAGATCACCAAGGAGACTAGTCCTGTCTGCTCCATTATTCTATAATTGAGTTCCCACCTCTGGTCTAATTTGTAGAACCTCTAACTCTATCTCCTTTCTCCCTTTGTCACCCTCTCATTCCTCTTCTTTTGTACCCTTTTTATTCTCTTTCTTACCTGAGTAAACAACTTATGTTGCTGTTCTATTAACAGTATGTGGTGGTCTTCCTCCGTGTACTTTTTGAGGCTTTAACAGGTTATCTATTGGCAAAACCCCCAACAGCATATAATACAGTGAGAACTTAGAGGTTTAATTCATGGCAAACCTCACTTCCGCTAAGTCATGTGTCAAATAAAGGTCCTAATTCTTAGTATTATCCCTTGCCAATTTAGCCAATATATCACCCAAGGTCCTATGAAATATTTCTACTTTCCCATTACTCTGTGGATGGTATGGGAAAGTGGTTACATATACTGTATTCAGGCTTGCCAAGGCTTTCATTATCTTATTTAAATTCTCTGGTCCGTTATCTGTAACCAGTTGTAGCGAGGAAATATCTCTGTTGATATCATATCGGACACTGCTTGGGCTCTCTTATCAGGTATAGCATATGTCTCAGGCCAACTCATCAGCCAATCTACAAAACTCATGATGTATAGATTTCCCCTTGGGGTCACTCCATATGGTTCTGATACATCTCTGCTCATTTCTCAAAGGGGAAGTAGGAGACATCTGTCTCCAGCTTTGGAGCCATTTTCTGACTTCTTCTCAAGGCCTGACACCATGCAGCCCTGTGCATAGTTCGTGACTTTGTTATATTGCCCAGGCCAATAATAGGTTCTCTCTATCCAGTCATAGGTTTTATCGATTCTTATGTGACCCAGTTTCTCATGACATTGTTCCAATATTTTAGCTCTATCCTAGTGATCTGCACTCAAATACAATTTGTGGACACTATTCGTCCCTTCTATCTTCACTATGGCTATCATCTTTCTGTCTGATTGACTCATTTCCATATCAGGTTTTCTCAACAAATCCCACAGTCTCAAACTTTTGTACTGATTCTTTCTTTTTAGAGATACAAATGCCTTCATGTCTATTGAAGCCCTCATTGCTTTTTCCTTTATCACTGCCTCTTGGGTTAACAAGGCAAACACCCTAGCTACACTTTTCCTGGGGTAATGTTCACTTGACCACCCAAACATGGGTGCCGACAATAATAATCCTTCATTATCTTTGTAGTACGGGGTTCCCAACCATCTACATTCATTTTGTAATGTCTGCTATAATGTATACTGGGGTTTGCTATACCTATTTCTAAAGGGACAATTTCTCCTCAAGTGTCCTTGTTCCCTGCAGAACCAACAACACCTTCTTCCGGGACAATTGGCAGCAAAATAGTCGACTTTTTCATATGCCCAGCATCGCATGCCTCTTAGTTTTACATGGGCTACTCTCCCACTTACTTTTTCTTCTGCAGTGGCCCATTGGCGTTTCCTTGGTTCTGTCTTTCAGGTGCAGGTCTGATGACAGGGGGCCCAATGGTCTCTTTTTCCTGAATACACACTACTTAGTCTGCCAGGTGTGGGCTTATAGAAATCATGTTCCAATGACCATGCTCTCTTATTGAGTGAGTCTTCCCACTATTCTGACTGGTCCTTTTCACGTCCTATGCTCTTAATCCATGTAGAGGTTTTCTTTCCATTATACTTCCTAACTATTCTTGAGCTTGAACCAGCGTTCCACTATTCTTCATTTTTTCTGATAGATCCTCACTGTCATTAGCCAGATTTATAGCCACTGACAACCTAATTAGGACCTCTTTTATCATGTCATGCCTAGGGCCTTCATTTTCTTGCATATCCTCAAACAAATCTACCAACTAGAACTGAATGGCAGCATTCTCTCATAATTCTTCAGGGAAAGCTATGGTCGACAGTTTTTGTCATGCTTAGGTGATCATGTATCTTTTGATACATGACTGATGAGGCAGATTTTTTTCCCGCACTAGGTTGCCATTTCTTTCTGCGGTAGACCAGTTGCCATCCAAGGTTATAGAACCCAGTCTATTCTGCTATTTACCAATAGCTGGTGGAGAAGAGGATTTATACTTTTCCCAAGGGTATTAGCACATAAAAGTGACTCTAATGGATTCAGTTGGAATTAAAACTCGGGGCTCCAATTCATCAATCTGAGCAACTATCCATTACTCCACTGTGCCTCCTTCAAACTAGATCCCCACAAAGCACATGGACTTGAGGATATCCTTGAAATTGACCTAAAGAAATATCCTCCTGAACTGGCTCCTATTTTCTCCAATATCAAATGCCTTACTGCTTCTTACTTTCAATCTTGGTGAAAATCCTTTTATATAGTTCCTGTTTTCAAGAACTCTGGCAAACCATCTGATCCTTCTAATTATTAACCTATTAGTCTTTTACCTTTTTTTTTGGCAATGTCCTCACAGCTCTAACCAACTTGAAGTTCGTTAAGCATCTCACTTTGCATGGTCATCTTTCAAATGAACATTGTAGTTTTTCTCTCTTGATCAACAGCTGATATTTTATACCACAAAAAATAAAAACAAAATACCTAAAAACTTGATCTTGTGCAACCACATGCATATACAGATTGATTTTTAGAGCAATTAAAAGTACTCTAACACATTGAAATGCATTACATTTAATATATTAAAGAATCAAAATATATATAATAGTGAAAAATCATCTTATTGATGATTAGAAAATCCTATAACAATCTGGCTTTACCTCAAAAGTTCATTGTTGGATGTGTCAATATAATCCATCAACATTAATTGTCTAATGAAAAAAGTACATGATCTAGTCATGTGATTTAAATATATGTGTTTTAGTATCGTAAGCAGAAGTAATCAATTTGTGTATTACATTAAATAGAATTAAATTTTACATTGGAGAAATGTTGGTGAATTTAAGAGCCATTTTATCAACCCAAATCAGAAATTCTTTTGAATTATTCAAAGCAATCTCATACATCATCCTCACATCACTGTCAGCATGGTGAATACTGAAATCAAACTTCCCAAAATGTCTCTCATAGATGTCTTGCAGTTTATAAGTTTTTTTTGTTTTCTTGCTGGAATCTGGAGGAGAGTCTGTTAAAGAAAGGTTTGCCATTTCAGTTTCATCTAATTTCTCTTTTTCAATAACTTTAAATCCTTGAAGTGTATCAGCATACAACAAGTCTGGCATAAGTTCACTTTGAACCTGATTCAAATGAAATTTTAATAAAGGAAAATCAAATCTTTTTCCATTATGAGCCAAAATACACACTGGTTTACTCAATCTCAAAAGAAAGATTTTGATCAGATCAGCTGCCTTCGAATTAAAGCTTTCTTGCTTGTTCAGATTATCAGTTGTCAAACCTGGTAAAACAAGAAAGAGAAAATAGATAGAAAGAATTTTCAGTAATAATGAGTTATCTCCCTTAAACTGAGATCAATAATTTTCAAATTTAAATTCTAAATTAACATTTAAAAATCAAAAAAAAATAATGTTTCCAAATCAAAAAGTCTATTGGGACACACTCCACTGTACTAAAAGAAAACAGGCAAACTTGGACCTTTGTGTCCATAAAAAAATGAAGTGTCAAATGGACAGTTCTTCCAATGACACCACTACTGTTACCTTCATTCAGTGGCAATGTTTATTGTTTTAAAAAAGAATTGTAATAAAAATTAAATTTATGAAAATAGATTCATGCATTTTCTTTGTTCTTAAGTATTGACAACAAAAATATTAAAAACTATTTATTAGAATGTTTATTTACACTATTTATTTATTAAATTGTTTATTGGGATCATTGGCAAAACCTTGGCTAATTGCCAACTGATTTGAATTTTATAAAACGTCAAATAATAAGGATTTCTTTATAGTTGGGTCACATATTTTAATAATTAAGCAAATGTTCATAAATTTATGAATAAAAATTAGTTTTCATATTTCTTTAGAAATTGGTAAATGATAATTAGTTTTTAATGCATTAGTTATAATTGTATTAGTTTTTAGAATGTTGGAAATAAAAATTATTCTTGAAAATAAACAATCTAATAAATAAATAGTGTTTAATTTTTCTGTTGTAAATTCTCAAGTACAAAAAAATATAAAAATTCACTTTCATCATGTTTAGATTTTATTACAAATCTAATGATAGCTTTTTAAAAGAATAAACACTGTTGAAGAATGAAGATAGTTAAAATAATAATGATGTCAATTAAAAAAAAATCATTCTTTTTAGAATCTGTGTTTTTGCCAGCATTAACATCCAAGTTTACCAAAAAAAAAAAAAACAAACTCACATACATGCCAAATAATTGTCACTGATGTTCAGCCAATCAGTCTGATTTGGATTTAAACAAGCAGCCAATAAATTAATATTAATAAAGAAAACTAATTTGGGGTTATCATTTAGCTATGACCCTATGTTGTACATTGTGGCTGAAAAATTGATCTATTCAGGTGTATTGTAACACCACAGGACTTAATCATCTGACCTTGGCTTCACTATAATTTATGTATAAATCAAAGGCTAAGAATGCTTACCCTAACAGTCTGACTCGAGGCATGAAAGTGTAAGATGCCTGGCCAGTTAGTGTGAATAACCTGACAAGGCAGACTTTCATTTTCTCTTGCTTTTTATACCAAACTGCATCACTGATAAAATGCACACACCAAGTCAGCTACCAAGTGAGACCTTAATTCACTTCTCTTTTCCATATCTGCCAACATATATCTGATTTGCTGCATATGCAAACTTATGTAACATCAAAATTTTGTAAATATGTAGATAAAGTGCTTTTCTCTCAATTATGTTTTCATCTGTTTTCTCCCATGAAGAAAGTGTTACAATATTGTGGGTGTGGTAATAATACATATTGCTTTCTTTGAACTGCTTCTTCACAAGAGCCACTGTTTAGGTAAAACAGACTCTTGACAGGTTGCTTTGCCAACCATTACAATCTTAACCTCTTCATATCAACCATTATCTATTCTACATTTCCTCATAGCCTGTGGTTCTTACCTCCTCCTCTTATATCCATAAAACATCCTCTATTGGTAACACTCAATATTAAGTGGCTTTGTACTGTGTGAACAATAGCATAAAATAAGACTTATCCTTGCATGGACTGAAATGTTTTTAAAAAAAAACACAAATTTGCAATCATTGCACCATTTGCAATCATAGCACCATTTGCAGTCATACCACTATTTGCAATTGGCATCATTTGCACTCATTCCACCATTTGTAATCAACACCATCATTTGAAATCATACCACCATTTGCAATCAGCACCATTTGCAATCATACCACCATTTGCAGTCATACCACTATTTGCAATTGGCATCATTTGCAATCATTCCACCATTTGTAATCAACACCCTCATTTGTAATCATACCACCATTTGCAATCAGCACTATTTGCAATCATACCACCATTTGCAATCATACCACGTACACCACTAAGAATCATGACTGATTTAAATACATAATCTGCTTTTCCCTTTTTTTCCTTTGTTTGTTGGGTTTTCCTTTTTTATACTTCAACACTCAAAAAAAAATTAGCTGGAAGTTTGTGAGATTAATAAAAAAAAAAAATGGATATAATCTCAAGAAATAACAAAATGAAAAAAATAAAAAAAAAAGAGATTCTTTTTAGCTCACCTGTTAATTCTGAAGCAATTTTTCCTATTTTTTGTTTAGGCTTGAAAACCAGTTTCATGCTATTCTCAGCCTTGTACTTTGCTTTCGACAAGAACTGTTTTCGGTCAACAGTTCGCATACATATCTCAGTAATATCTGGATTTACTCCTTGCCTTTTCAAACCAGTTGTTTCTATATCCATAAAAACCAAAGTTTCTATAGGGACACTACTTGCTGCAGCCATATTGCTTGTGAGATTCCCAACTGAAATGGATAAATTTCTTTCTTTGATCCAGACATTATTATTCATTTGGCACAGCATCAAAAAATTTGAACATGAATTATGTAATTCTACTTTTTCTAGAATCTAAGATATATCTATATCAATATATACATAGAGATAAAAAAAATATATCTGTAAAGACAACATGAAGAAAAGAAAAGACAAGTGGAACATTTTTTGTTCCTTAATAAAGTTCCTCAAGGAATAAAATTCATTAGCATAAAAAGCATTCCTCATTTTTTCTCATATATATATATATATATATATATATATATATATAATAAAAATGTGTATATCTATGTGTCTGTCTGTACATCTATAGGAAGAAAAACTACTTCACTGATCTTCATTAAATTTGGAACATAGATAGTAAACATAAAAGAGAGTGTAATGATCTATTTGATTTATTTTTGAGGGGAGCAAAGGGGAAAGCACCCCCGCCTCTTGAAAATAAATGTACCCATGGATTCAAAAACTACTTGATAGATTTTTATGAAATTTGGAACATAGATTTCCAATATGAGAGTGGATGTAATATGCTATGTATAAGTATATATTATTTTGATCAGAGGAGGTATTCTGGTTTTCACAAAACCCCCTCAAATTTTTTCCCTTTAGCTTAAATGAAATTTAAACTTAGGTAAATGACCTGAAATGATACCTATTTCCAAAATACCAACCAATTTAAATATCATTGCAGCCTAATGAAGGATATACCCCCCCCCTTGAAAATTTTGGAAGCCCATGACTTGAGAATTTAAACCTCTATTATCACGGGGTTTTTACCATAGGGCTATATATTTTAGTCACCTTGATATATTTTGAAGCCAACTCCCAAAGTAGTTATATAGAGTCCAAAGGGGTGGCGTGAAGGGCTTAGCCCCCTAAAAATCTAAACAATACAAACATTGGATAGATTGTTATGAAATTTGAAAGAGATTCTGTCTATGACGCCTAATGACATAGACTATGTATATCTAACATTTAAAAAAGGGTGGAGTCTAGGGGTACACAAATCCTTACCTCAAAAAATTGTTTCCATGTATTTAAGAAAAATTTAAACCATATCATCTTTTCCATTCATTTCATTTTTGCATCCAAATATTTGATTGAGGCTGCAAATTTAGTTTCCTATAACCTACACAATAGCTACTGTTTCAATCTTAAATAATGATCCAATTAATATAGATCCTAGTATAGTTTTTCCATAAATTTTGTCTCTTTTGGACTAAGGAGGAATCACTTGAACCTACACAATAACTATAATTTCATTAATATGCAACTTTACAATTTATTTGAATTCTTGATAAAGTTCTTTATCCTATAATGATCAAATATAAACAGCTCTATATCTTTCAGATGTCTGTTCTGGCAGCTGACTATTGCAAATAATAATTAGGCTACAACCTTATTACAATGCCTCCCCAAAAGTTCTGTTTTGGGCCACATAAGCAATCCCAGTGGAGGAAAAGAGAAAGATCAGAAGAAATTGAAGATCAGCTGAGCAAGAGAAGAAGAGAAGACAGAAAAAGGCATGCAGCTTCACAAGCATCAAAAGTCAAGAACAAGCAGATCTAAGATGTAATAATTGCTTCAATTATAGAGATCATAGACCAGAAGGTTATATGCAGCCATGATGATAATGGCCTGGAGGAAGCATCTCTTTGGGATATGAGATAGACAAGCATAAATAGAGAACAACTACTGAACATAAGGGGATTGCTTAGTGAACCCATTTGCTAATGCGGAGAACTGTGCTATAACTGCTACTACACATAGAGATATACCAAACATATCAGGTATATTTTTTTTATTGTTGATGTTTGTTGTAATACTTAAATAAATATTGTAATATGCATATTTTTATAGTTTTCCTCAATCTTTTATTTAGTTATATATGTGATGATTGCTTGATTTATAGACCAAAATATTGCGTTCACAGACCAGGTTATATCCAACCATGATGATAATGGCCTGAAGGAAGCACTTATTTGTTCTACATGAAAACTAGCAGTCCTTTCTATTGCTTTACCTGGATCTATATAGCTGTATCACCTACATGAATGTTAACAGCGATTTATTATTATATGTTCAATACCCTCTAATCAATATCTTTCAAAAACATAGTACAATTTTGGCAGCTTCTTCCAAACACACTCAATGACAGGTATTTCTTTTAGTATATATAAATATATATATAGAGTGGTGCAAATTTGGAGTGTGCTTAAGTAAATTCTGATGATTATTCCTGGTTTTATTTTGTTGCTATGATGAGAATAGAAATTTATTAAATTGTTATTAAATTGTTTTTATTTGTTGATTTTTGGGAGACACTAAATAAAATCAAGCATAAACATCAAATTTTATTTAAGAGCACTCAGAATTTGCAGCCTTCAATATTTACATGTGGAGAAATAAATTGAAAATACATTTTAGCTCCTCCAGTACCTTATATATATATATATATATATATATATATATATATATATATATATATATATATATCATAATAATCTGGTGTAAAATCTGACTTTCTTGCACACTATGCATGCATTCCTTTGGCAGTTACTTACTTCTGTGTATTAATGAGAAAATTTGCAGTCAGTTGCTGAAACCTTCTGATGGGTGTACTAAATGACTAAAAAAAAGGGTTGTTTACAAGACTCTGGAGTTAAGGCACTTAATATATGATCAATCAGCTAAGTGACAAATTTTATATTTGTATTAATCTCCTATATATTAATATATATATATTTAAGTTTTTCATGAAGATATGATTTTAACTTTTTCATGAATAAATAATCCACATTATGACAGACGGACTTTAAACAATCTGTTGACTTTTAAAATGATATTTTTGTCCCTAAAATATATATAGCCAGACATTTATACATATAGATGTATGCATTTTTTATCTAGATAATGATGAGTGAATTTCTCTTTTTCTATGTTTGTTACCATAATGCAGCAAAAACAGCACGTCATAACACACTTTCATTAGCTTCATTTCATTAACATACTCTAATTTATATAATAGAGCAATTTTTAGTTTAATTTAGTCACTAATGTATAATTGTGCTGAAATTGACAGAAGTCTATTAAAGTTCATCTAAATGAACTAACAACATTGAACTTACTAATTAAACACCTCCAATATTTTAATTATTTCATATATAATGCTAAGAGAAAAGCTTAGAAAATCTATAAAGCACAAAAAATCTTTGTAAAGCTTGAATAGGATTTATCTCATATTAATATAAAAGTTTTCATTACTATTTCAAAAAAGAGATTTAATTAATGAAATATTGTTAAATTAAACCTGAAGCAGAAATTTTAAAAATTGATTAGAAAAATATCCTTTGAAACTCACTGGTGAGACATCTAGGAATTTAAATAAAAGATTATACAGGCTGTGGCAGAAATACCTCCCACATTTTAAGCCATCATCTGTGTGGTGCTATTAAACTTAGGCAAGTGGAAATGGTATCTTCATCTCACTAATGTCTTACCATTATGTGGGAGGTCATTTCAGCCACTCCCAGTATGAATATAAGAAAGCTTTTCTATAAAACAAGGCACTAGATTCTTTAGCCATTCACTTTGATAGGTGTGGCCATATTTTCAACTTAGAAAATGTGGCTGTGTATAAAAGAGATAGTCTTTTATTGAGACAAAAATGTATTGAACACTAATTTTGAAATATTCTAAATCCAAGATCATTAAATATGTTTGCTTTCTTCACAAAATTCCTACAAATGCAATGTGGGGTAATTAATAACAATAAAAATAATTGAGTTAAAGAAGAGGGTTTAGCGATATCAGACAGATGGTTTCTTATGAAATGAAAAAAAAGATGGACTTGTCACAAAAATGGATTCAGACATTTATCACCCCATGCAAGGAAGTAAAGCCACTAAGACACAAGGGGCTACAGAGTGTAAAATTAGGAACAGAAAGATTAATAATGAGTGTAAAGAGAAGATAGTAATCAGAAGGACAGTAATTAGTAATAGACATTGCATTTAAATTTTTGCAGATTAAAGTTGGCTGGAAAGCATGGAGCTGGAAGGGAGTTCCACAAGCGCAAAGGTCGACACAATTTCAAAAGAGGACCAAAGAGTCAGTTATTTAAATAAGGATTTGTTTATTTTTTAGATTAAAGATAGTGCATCAATTTCTTGCATCTACATCCTGATCACTGAAATATTTTACAATTGTTTTCAATGTAAAACTTTTTTTTATTTTATTTGTTTATAATATTGAGTTTTTTGTCAATCAGAAGAACGATTGTGATTGCTGGTGATTCAAGGGAAAATTTGGAACCGTTTAATTCTACTTTTAAAAGTGTTTTTTTTTTCTTCTTTACAAGACTCAGATTTGTGCTCCTATATAAAAGTAAAACGTTGTAAGAACTCTCGTTTTAAATTTCTAATAAATATTTTTCCCCATAGGACATTAAGATTTGCATTGAAGATATATTTTTTACATCATCTCATTCTCATATATTAGAGAGAGAGAGTGGGTGGGGACAGACAGTTTACCTTTCCATTGAGACAATCTTAAAACCAGAATGATATTTTTAAATATGGTGAAATAGCAGGGTAGTATGGGTTTTCTAGCCTTGCATGATAACAATTTTTAAGGAAGTTCGACTCTGAATTCAAAACCGTGGAGAAAGCAATGGGAAACCTTTCCACTATTTTTCCTAAAAAGTTATTTCAATTCTCAGAAAAAAATCTATAAAAGGATATAATCACCTACGCCCCGAAGAAACATGACTTTTTTTTTTTTTTTTTAATTTTGCAGAAAAGTTAACATTATTACTCATACTGTAGTAGTGTAGTTAATAAACGTTT